ACCCAGTACCACCAGCCCAGGGATGGCACCACCCACAATGAATGGGATGGGTCCTTCCATATTAATTTCTGAAAATGTCCTACAGGCTTGCCTACAGCCCAATAGAAGTATTTTCTCTGTTGAGCCTCTCTCCTGTGATGATTCTAGCTTGTATCAGTTTGACATAAAACTAACCAGTACAGTGTCTGTACCAAACACAAATATTGATTTGCAAGTATTTATTGGCCCCCATGGTTAATGTCATCATCTGATATCTTGGCACACCTTTCACATTACAAAGAATCTCTATGAAAATAAAATGTCCACTCTTGCTTTCTTGCTTTCTTGTTATGTGGGTAAACCTTTAGAGGGAACTTGCTGACCTTCCTCTAACCAGTGACATTTTGTTCCTGTCCCAGAGGCTTTTGCGCCTACAGTTCTCCTTCTGCTATCTCTCCTTAGCTCAAATGTCACCACATTAGCATTACTTGCTACATGTTGTTAGCCTGGCCTGTGGAGTGTCCCACACTCCAGGTTTGATTGCCGGCTTCTTTAGCACCTTCCATAATGGTCCCCCAGCATCTATGGGCTCCCACCCCTGTCTTCCTGTCTTCCGTAAACAAACAGCATCCGTTTAAATTTGATCCAGTGATCAGTAGCCAGGAAAATGATGTGCTTGCTGGTTCCTTCCTGTTGCCTCACATCAAGGGGCCTATGCTATCCTCTCAGGGAATGTCCCTAGCCCTCAGTAACTCTCCAGGTAAGGTGTTGTTAGGTGGGGCTATAGGCATGACTTAGCAGTAGAGTGCTTGCCTGAAGTTTCCCAGAAAGGAACTGGGGACATGGCTCAGAGGTACGGCCTCACAATAGTGAGGGTGGGAGCGTGCCTCAGCAGTATAGCATTGGTTCAGCATGGTTAGGGCCCTAGATTTAATCCTCACTACTGAACAAATTAAATAAAAAAGAAAAAGAAAAGAAAAAAAAGAAAGAAAAAATAACCATCAAAAGTAGCCATCAAATTCTCCATCCAGAACATTTTTGTGTTGTTGAAGTTGCTCAAATCTGACAACACAAGTTGATCAACGACTCCCTGCTGCCAAGAACATTGTGAAAATGTGTCTGGGTGAGGGAATGGCCTGGCAGGGGAAAGGGTGTCCTTTCTGAGGCAAGGGTGATGTCCTCTGGGTGTAAGGTTAGCAGCACATGGTAACTGGCTGTGCACAGTTTTATCTTGTATTTGTGCGTGGTGCTTGGGATAGAACCCGAGGTCTTGGCGTACCCTTGAGCCAAGCTCTAGCCCCTCACTGGGGGATTCTAGGCAGGAGCTCTTCACCTGAGCCACATCCCAGCCCCTCACTGAGGGATTCTAGGCAGGGGCTCTTCACCTGAGCCACATCCCAGCCCCTCACTGGGGGATTCTAGGCAGGAGCTCTTCACCTGAGCCACATCCCAGCCCCTCACTAGGGAATTTTAGGCAGGGGCTCTTCCCCTGAGCCATGCCCTAGCCCCTCATGGGGTATTCTAGGAGGCTGCTTTTCCCCTGAGCCACACACCAGCCCCTCAATGGGGAATTCTAGGCAGGGGCTCTTTCCCTGAACCACTACCTAACTCCTCACTGGGGTATTCTAGGCAGGAGCTCTACCACTGAGCCATTCCCAGCCCCTCACTGAGGGATTCTTGGCAGGGGTTCTTCCCCTGAACCATAGCCCTAACTCTCCATCTTTATTTTTTGAGGCAGGGTGATTTTTTTTTTTAAATTGAACTTGGAGTTTGCTGATTCAAGCTAGACTCTGGCTGTCCAGCCCTAGGGATCCTCCTGTTTCTGCCTCCCCATCACTGGGATTATAGGTATACAGTTTTTTTTTTAATGTGGATGCTGAGAAGTTAAATTTAGATCCTTATGCTTGCAGAATAAGCACTTTGCTGCCCGAGCCACCCCCCCCCCCAGCTGTCCCAGTAGCCTTTTGAATGTACGCCCACCTCACGTGACATCAGTTGTGTCATCTGTAAAATTGCACATGACTCTTGCAAGACTTGAGAGGGAGCGTTGCGGTACGTGTGTAGTCATTGGGGTTAATGGTAGAGGCTGAAGAGATGGGAGGAGGGAGTTGGAAGGAGGATGGCTCAACTTCGTTCCAGGAAACGGTAACCAGATGGTCCTGGCCCCACTCCTTCTCTTCCTCAACATTTCTTCTTTTGGAGGAAGTTTTAAGTTGCTCCATAAATCCATGACCCATTTATTTTAGTTACTCCTGGCAGCAGAAATGCAAGGACGGTAGCTGGGTAGATGGCCCAGTGGGTGGGAGCTCTAGCTGCTCAAGAATGAGGACCTGAGTGTGCATCTCTGACACCCATGTGGAAAGCTACAGTTGTGTGCTTGCCTCTAGCCCCAGCTGTAAGTGTGGCCAAGACAGGAGGACTGCAGGACTCGCTGACTATCGGTCTAGGTCCAGGTTCAGTGGGAGATCATGTGTCAAGGGAATCAGGCTAGGGGTGATGGATCTGGGCACCTGACACCCTTCTCTGTCTTCTGCATCTATGTACCTACATATACACACAGGCACATAATCACACACAGTCCGGCACATACAACACACACACAAGATCAATTTAAGGAAGTGTTTTGTTGTTTTTTTTTTTTTTTTGTAAAGTTGTGTATTTAGGGGTGCCCTTTAACATTGGGACACTTTGTTAAATCAAAGTGAAGAGAAAGTGGAGATGTAGCTTGGAGAATACAAGGTGTCAGGCTTAACACTGTCCAACATAGATGGAGCTTGGCGGAAGGAGTCTGGAATCCTAGCATTGGAGAGGTGAAAGCAGCAAGATCACAAGTTCAAGGTTGGGGCTGGAGAGATGGCTCAATGGTTAAGAATGCTTGTGGTTCTCAAAGACCTGTGTTTGGGTCCCAGCATCCACGTCTGACGCCCACTTCTTTCTCTCTGAGGGTCACAACCCCCTATACACATAAATAAACTATAAATACATGAAACAAAAAAATCTAAAGAAGGTTACTCTTTTCGTACCCTTGGCTACATGGGGAGATCAAGGCCAGGTTTGGATACATGAGACCTGTGAAAACAAACAAGCAAATGCACAAACAATCAAAAAACCAACATGGGTACTGGCCTCAATTGCAGAAGACCCATGTTTGGTTCCCAATAGCTACATGGTGGCTCACAACCACCTGTAACTTCAGTTCCAAGGAACCCAGTGCTCTCTTCTGGCACCCATGGGCATGGCACTCATGTAACAGATATATACACACCACTAGAAGTTTACTTAAAAGCAGAAACAACACTGGTCACATTGGAAAAAAAATCTTTCTTTTTGCCTTTCATTATTAAAGATGATTCTTTAAAACCAACAGCAATATGAGGGCTATAGGTAATAATACAGATGCAAGGGAAGCACAAACTTTTTTGTTTTGTTTTGTTTTTTGAGACAGAGTTTCTGTGTGTAGCTTTGGAGTCCTGGCACTCACTCTGTGGAGTGGCCTCGAACTCACAGAGATCTGCCTGCCTCTGCCTCCCAAGTGCTGGGGTTAAAAAGGCATGCACCACCACTGCCCAGCAAATGAAAGCATTTTATTTCAAGTATAACAAACGAAACTTGTCAAATACTTAAAAGGGAGAAAAAGAAGATACCCTCCCTCCAGGCCAGAGGACTTTCTTGGTGTATTGAGAATGATATGTCCATCTTTCTGCCCTTTTATGAGCTCAATGGTGTCAATGGGTTTTACAAGAATATGCACCCCACCTCTGAGATGAAGCAGGCACAGGGTAGATTCCCCTTGGGCATGGCCATCTTCTAGCTTCTTGCTGACAAAGATCAACTTGTGTTGGTTTGGACTGGGGAGATCCTGTCCTTACCTTGGATCTTTGCCTTTGACACGATGGTGTCACTGGACTCAGCCTCTATGCTTACCAGTTGAGGATTTTCTTTTCCATTTATGTCTCTGTGTGCATATATGTGCATGTGAGTGCAGGTGCCCACAGAGGCCAGAAGGGGGCGTTAGATCTCCTGGTACTGGAGTTTAAAAATGTTTGTGAGCTACCTGATGTAGATGCTGGAACTAAATTCCACCAGAGCAGTAGACACTCTTAATGACTGAGCCAGCTCTCTGACTCCAATTAAGGTATTTTTATTTTTTTTTTCTTTTCTGAGTTGCTCCAGTGATGGTGGTAGCAGTCCTCACCAAAAAAACAAAAAACACAAAACAGCTTTGGTCATAATGTTCTAATTCCAGTATCAGGCCTTTGAGACAGGGTCTCATGTAGCTCAGGCAGGCCAGGAACTCACTATGTAGCCAAGGATGATCTTAAAATCCCAAGTCTTGGGCCTCTAACTCTCTCCCAAGTGTTATGGTTACAAGCGCATGCCTTGCTGTGCTTTATAATACTGTACTGGGGCTGATGAGATGGCTCATTGGGTAAAGGAACTTGCATCCAAGCCTGAGCATCTGAGTTTAATCCCTGGGACCCACATGGTAGGAGATAACCAACTCCTCAATATTGTCCGTCACAGCCAGCATATTAAAGTCTTTTCATTTGTCCAATTTATAATTTCCTCTGCCGAGCTCAAATTCACATCAGTCGCTGGCTCGTTAAAAGATGGAGAGAGAGCTGGGTGGTGGTGGCCTACACCTTTAATCCAAGTACTTGGGAGGCAGAGGTGGGCGGATCTCTGTGAGTTCAAGGCCAAACTAGCCTATCAAGTTCCAGGACGGTAGGGCTCTACACAGAGAAACCCTGCCTCAGAAAAAAAAAAAAAAAAAAATGGAGGGAGGCCAGTGCATCAAGTCCAAGTCCAACAGTTTGCAAGCCTGACAACCCGAGTTCAGTCATCTTCTGACCTCCACCTAGGCATGGCACATGCTCGCACACATGCACTCACAGACACAATTACACATATGCAATAACAACTAAATAATATTTTTAAAGTGAGAAGATAAACCAGCCCCACCGAGTCATTTATACACATGAATATTCTGTATTCGAACCAGAACCATGACCACCCAGTGGTTATCATTAAAATTACATGTGATAAAGAGGGATTTCCAAAGGACCCCTTTGGAAGAGGGGTTGGAAGAGGATTGGACCCCTTGATCCTTGCACCAGAAAGTAGAGCGCTTGCCTGGAATCCCCCAGTGAGGGACTTCAGGTGATGGCTGACAGCTAGAGTGACTTCCTGAAACCTTCCAAGAAGGGCTGGGGGCTTGAATTCCTAGTAGAGCTTCTGCTTACACGCCCACAGTGAGGGGCCGGGGCTGGAGCTCCATGGTAGACCATCTGTGTAGGGTACAGCACTGAGGGGCTGGAGGTGTAGTGCAGATGGAAAGCACCTGCCGAGAATCTTCCACTGGGTGGCTGGGGACATGGTTCAGAGTTAGGAGCCTGCCTAGAATCCCCTAGTGAGGAGCTGGGGGTGTGACTCAGCAACTGAGCACTTGTCTAGATTTTAGGTGGTAGGACCCGACTACAGAGTATATCTGCAACCAAACAAAGAAACATACATGGCAGCTGTGGTCACACAGGAACAATGTCTCAGTCTACATATCCAGCCCCTCCCTGACGCTAAAGCCTTGACTCCTACTCCTGCCTCTCCCACTCCGGTCCCTGAGCAGTACCTGATGTATCACCTCCTGAGCAGTACCTGATGCAGGGAAGGCTGTGCAGGAGGGAAGTACCTCCTCTGGGGTCTCTAGAGTCCACTTCTCTCGGCCCAGATGTGGCAATGGAGGGCAAGGGCCAAGGGGCCAAGGGACTTATTACCCAAGGCAGGATGGGCCCCGTCCAGAGGTCTACAAAAAGGAGCGTGGGACAGGAGCTCATGGCCAGACCTGATTTGTGTCCCGCGGAGTCCACTGCCGCAGTAAGTGACAACCCTTCCCTAGTCAGAGCTCTGATGTGGGGTACCTAGGGCCACTGAATGTTCACTCCTGTGTCCCACAGGTACCACAGGACGTTGTGGTCTGGCTCTCTCCAGCATGGGAAGGGTCTCATCTAAGGTGGGGCTCTTGGTTGTCTCTTGCAGTACAGGATGAAAAACCTCTCGCTTCTCCTCCTCCTCCTCTTCCCTGTCCCGGGGTTGCTGAACTCCGGCAGGTCACTGTGTTCCATGGATAAAGCCATTGACCAGAAGATCAAGCAAGGCTTCAGCTCCCTATGTGAGGAGCCCCCCACCCAACCTTGCTGAGGGCCTCACAGGCTTATCTCCCCCCCACCCGATCTCATCACAGACCCACCCAGCTGCAAGGCTAACGTCAGCTCAAACTCACCCGGTCTGCGGGTTCCAACCCAGCCCCCCCCCCCCTGCCCTACCTTGAACACAGCACAGCTCCAACCCACAACCAAACTTCTTCCCACCATCACCCCCAAACCTCCCCTCACCCCCAAAGGGCTTCAATTTGCAGTTCAAGGAGTCTTCCAGCCCCTGTTCCTCTTGCCTCCGTCTCCTGAGTGTTTGAAGTACAGGTGGGAGCCACCATTCTATCCTCTCTGGGAACAAAATATTTTACTATACACATGTGTGCTGCACATGTGTACTTGTATATATGTGGTGTACATGTGTGAAGGTGCATGTGTGTGTGCATCGGCATGTGGATGCCTGAAGCTGATGTCATGCCATCATCCCTGATCACTCCCTACTTTGTTGAGGTGGAGTCCCTCAGTTGAACCCAGGGCTCATGAACTTGGGAAAGTCTAGGCAGCTTGTTCTGGGGACCCCATGTCTGTTTGTCTCCTGGACACTGGGTTTATAGGTGGCCCCACGCATGCCTGCCTGACTTTTAGGCGGGTTCAAGGAATCAGAGCTCCGGTTCTCGCACTTGTGAGTCAAACTCTTTACCCATTGAGCCATCTCCCCACTCTGCTGGGAAGGGTTTGACTCCTTGGCTAGTGTCAAACCCAGTGGTCTCCCCGTGCAAGGATGCAGTTGGGACAGCCTCGTTTTACACCCCCCCCCCTTCCGCCTTCCTTTCTGCAGTGTCAGAAGCGGTAATAAACAGTGGCATCCAATGCCGGACAGTCTCTTCCAGAGGGGACTTGGCCTCCTGCCCAGAAGGTGAGTGCAAACTGTTGCTCAGACTTTCTGGACGTCCCCTGAGACTCCTCTGCTTCCTCGTTTCTGTCCTCAATCTCTCCTTCCTTAGGACTCTGTCCCACCCTCCAGTCTCCTTGCTCCCAGCCCAGCTCCAGGTCTCCGTTAGCGCCCCCCCCATCCAGTCATTTTACCCTCTACTGCCTGGGCAACAGCCTCCAGCCTCCTAAGCCCATCTCCCCCGCTCACTCCTGCAGTGTCCCAGCTTCTCAGGGGCTTCTCTCCTCGCAGGCTTAGCAGTCACCAGCTGCTCCTGTGGCTCTGCCTGTGGCTCGTGGGATGTTCGAGAGGGAACAACGTGTCACTGCCAGTGTGCAGGCATAGATTGGACAGCAGCCCGTTGCTGTGCCCTGGGGGTTGGTGCCTGAGGTCTTGAGAGTTGAGCTGGTCTGTCATGTGCTGGGGCAGAGGGATGGGGCTGGCGAGAGGGCAGGGGGCAAGTCCAAGATGAGGGGCTGGAAACAGAGGATGAGGTGCTAGTGATGTTGCTGCTGGTGGTGCTGATAAAGGTGATGGTAACATGGACACGAGCCTCGTGTGGTTTCTTTAGTGGAGAAGGGGGTGTGTGGGAATTGCTGTACCACATAGAAACCTTTTCTCCCTATCACTTTTCCTGTTTCTTTTTTCTTTTCCTTCCTCCTATCCCACCTTTTCAACAGGGTCTCATGTAATCCAGGCTAGCCTTAAACAATACTCGCCATCACAGAAGAGACTGGACCTTGGCAGGATGGGGGATCCATAGTTCTCAAGTCCATTTTCCACCTCTGTGGATGCAGGGTCAAATACCTATTTATAATCAGAGGCATCTAGGGCACCTACCCTGCCCCTCCTCGCCCCAGGAATCCTAGAATAGAAAAGCCCAGGGCAGAGGATAATTTTTTCCTTGTATCTTGAGCTCAGAATAAAGTGTGGTCTGGGGGGTGCTGGTAGTAAGTGCCTACTGAGGGACAGTGAGGCGACTCAGTGGGGAGTGTGCTTGCTGCCAAGGTTGGTGATCTGAGATAGATTCCTGAAACCTACACGGTGGGAGGAGACCGCCGACTCCTGCAACTTGTCCTCTCGCTTCCACGTGCACTGAGGTACTTGTGCACCCTGTGCACACACACAATAAACAAATAAATAATAAATAAATGCAACAAAATGTTTGTTGAATTAATACCTCTGTGGTGGTTAATCTTGGTTGTCAACTTGACAGGACAGAGGGTAACCTAGAAGACACACATCCGGGCACGCCTGTGAGGGGGTTGGTAAATTGGGTTAATTGATGGGGAAAACCCTGAATGAAGGTGGTACCATTTCACTGTTGAGGTCCTGACTGCACAGAGAGGAGAAAGTGGGAGCCGGAGAGAGTTCAGAGGTTAAGAGCACTTGCTACTCCCTCAGAGGACCCCAGTCAGCTTCCCAGCACCTGTGATTAGCAGCTAACAATCACCTCTAATTCATGTGCCCAGACACATGCATTCACCACACATGCGCGCACACACCAAACCAAAACAAAAACAGAGAACAAAAAAAAATCATAAACCCCAAATCCGTGAAAACACAAAATTGAAAAGAATAATGTACAAGCAAAAGGCCCATAAGATAAAAAATATAAAACAAAAAGCCTCCAAAACCACCACGGAGTTCTTCCTGTGCCTGGTGCCTTCCCCTAAGTAAGGTTCATAAGCCTGTGAGACTCCATTTGAGAGAAACAAATTTTCCTTTGCAAGCAGTTGTCAGGCGGAGATGGCTTCTTGGTCAGGGGTGGGACCCCATGTCCACTCCCCCTCTCTGGTTTGGGACTTCATCTGTCTTGGACCTGCACACAGGTTCATATGTACGTGAGTCCTATCTGGTCCAGAAGACACTGTTTCCTTGGTGTTGTCCATTCCCTCTGGTTCTTACAGTCTTTTCTCTCCCCTCCTGCATAGCTCCCTGAGTCCCGAGGGGGAAGGATTTGATGAACACAATGTAGTGATATTTCATTTGTATTTTAATAAATAAAGCTTGCCTGAAGATCAGAAAGCAAAACAGCCACCCTGGTCAGATTTACAGATGCAGTGGTGACCACACATCTTTATTCCCAGTGGCCACACTAGTTTGCCATAGAAACCAAGCAGTAGTGGTGCACACCTTTATTCCCAGCACTAGAGAAGAATATAAGACTGGAGTTTTATGGCTGTTTTGCTTTTCTGACCTTCAGGTTGAACCCCAGTATCTGTATCTGGATTTTTATTAATCGTGCTACAATTTAGGACCGAGTATTCCGAATTTTCTCACTCTGCACACTGTCCAGTGTGGGGTCTCTTTGTTCGCTCCTGTCTACTACAAGAAGAAGCTTCTCTGATAACGGCTGAGCAAGATACTGATATCTGGGTATTGCAGAATGTTGTTTGGAGACTTTTTTTTTGCTATGTTCCTTTAGTGTAACAATAGTATTTGGTTTTCCCCTAGATCCATGGCCAATTCAGTCTCGGGTTCTTGGCCACTGTGGCAGTGTCAGACAAGGATGCCATCTCATTGAGCGGGCCTCAAATCCAGCCAGAGAGTGATTGGTTACTCACACAATGCTTGTGACACTATTGCATCAGCATTTCTTTCAGGAAAGTCACTGTTGTGGGCTTAGAGATTGCCCCTCTCCTTTGGTAGAAAGCAGAGTACCTTCCAGGACCATGAACACTAGTCAGTAGGGGTGAGGATTCTAGGTAGACACCAATTCTACTTCTCCATGTAAAATGAGTTATATAGGTACTGTCTTCAGCAAATATGGCCTTACTATCAGTTTATACTAATAGTTGGCAGCAGCTGGAGTTGTTTGGAGGTTCGCACCGGGGCCCTTTTGGCCAACAATTCAAGTAGATATAATCCATTCCTGGCACTGGAGGGTTCACTTGGTGGGGAAAGATGTCTAGTTGGGAGCATTGTTGCCCTGTTATTTTGTGACTTCATTTACATTTCTTTCATTCACACACACATACATATATATGCATATATATACATATCTATATGGAAGCATCAACAGGAATAGGTTTGTATTTGGCCCCTCAAATGGCACTTAGTGTTAGCTGTTCCTCCCTGCATCCCCTCCCTTACACCTCTTCCCTTCACCTTCTCATTTAATCCTCCCACTCCTGTCTTTCCATAACTACTTGTTCTATTTCTCCTTCCTTGAAGATTGTCCCCATGCCCAGTCTCTTACCCTATACCTAATCTCTGTGGGTTTGCAGATTGTAGTATATATGCTGAAGGCTTAAAGGCTAACATCTACACATAAGAGAATGAATACATATCGTATCTGTCTTTTGTGGGCTGGGTTATCTCATTCAGGATGATGTTTTTCTAGCTCCATCTATTTCCTTGCAAATTTCATGATTTCACTGTTTCTTAAAAATGATTTTTCAAGCAGTGTTTCTCTGTATAGCCCTTGCTGTCCTGGAATTCTCTCTGTACACCAGGTTGGCCTCAGACTCACAGAGATCTGTCTACCTCTGCCTCCCAAGTGCTGGGATTAAAGGCTTTTGCCACCACTACCTGGCATAATTTCCTTCCTTTTCTCCACCCTTGGCACCAGCCATCCACCGATTCAGTAGGTCCAAAGGGGGGGGGGTCTTTTCTTTTGTTTTGTTTTGGTTTTTGGTTTTTCAAGACAAGGTTTCTCTGTAGCTTTGGAGCCTGTCCTGAAACTAGTTCCTGTAGACCAGGCTGGCCTTGAACTCACAGAGATCTGCCTGTCTCTGCCTCCCGAGTGCTGGGATTAAAGGTGTGTGCCACCATCACCTGACGAATTTCCTTTCTTTAGATAGCTGAATAATATTCCATTATGTGAATGTGCCAGCTACTGGTTATTCATTGGTTGGTGGACATCTAGGCTCTAGGGGTCCTTTGGTTAATGATCAGGTGTGGTATAGCTGGCTCCTTGGGTAGATCTAGTCCCAGTTTCCCAAGGAACTGCCACACTGATTCCCATAGTGGTTACATGAGTTTGCAGTCCCACCAGCAATGAATGAGTGTTCCCCTTTCCCAGCATGAGCTGTCATTTGTTTTATTGATCTTGATTGTTTTGATAGGTGTAAGATGAAATATCAAAGTGGTTTTAATTTACATTTCCCTGATGGCTAAGGGTGTTGAACATTTCTTTAAGTGCTTTTGAGCCATTTGTGTTTTCTCTCTTGAGAATTCTTTTTTAATTTTTTTAAATTTTGTGAACATTGGTGTTTTTCCTGCATTTTATGTCTGTATGAGAGTGTCAAATCACTTGGAGCTGGATTATAGACATTTATGAGCTGCTATATGGGTGCTGGGAATTGAACTCAGGTCCCCTGGAAGAGCAGCCAGCCAGTGCTCTTAATCACTGAGCTTTCTCTCCAGCCCCCTCTTTTGAGAATTCTGTTAGCTCCATATCCTATTTTAAATTGGGTCATTTGTTTTCTTGATGTCCAGTTTTTCAAAGTTTTTTTAAAATGTATTTTGGATATAAGCCCCTCTGTTGGATGTGTAGTTGGTAAAAATATTTTCCCACTCTGTAGGCTGCTGCTTTGTCTGAGTGACAGTGACTTTTGCCTTACAGAAGCTTTTCAGTTTCATGAGGTCCCATTTATTAATTGTTGATCTTAGTGCCTGTGTTATCAATGTTCTGTTCAGAAAGCCTTTTCCTGGCCCATGAGTTCAAGGCTGTTCCCCACTTTCATTTTCTATCAGATTCAGTGTATCTGACCTTATGTTGAGGCTCTTGATCCATTTGTAGTTCAGTTTTATTCTGGGTGATGAATATGGATCTATTTGCATTCTTCTTCATGCAAACATCCAGTCTGACCAGCACGACTTGAAGATGCTATTTTTTCCCAGTGTGTATTTTTCACGTCTTTGCCAAAGATCAGGTGTCCATAGACATGTGGATTTATGCCTGGGTCTTCAATTCATTTCTATTGAGCAACACATTGGTTTTTGTGTCAATATCATTCTGTTTTTTTTTAATATTTATTTATTTATTATGTATTCAATATTATGTCTGTGTGTATGTCTGCAGGCCAGAAGAGGGCACCAGACCTCATTACAGATGGTTGTGAGCCACCATGTGGTTGCTGGGAATTGAACTCAGGACCTTTGGAAGAGCAGGCAGTGCTCTTAACCTCTGAGCCATCTCTCCAGCCCTCATTCTGTTTTTATTACTATTGCTCTGTAGAACAATTTGAGGTCAGTGGTGGTGATACCTCCAGCAGTTCTTTAAATAGATAAAGTCTTAAAAATTTTAAGACATCATTTAGACTATAGACACTCGAAATATGCAAATATGCATGCATATTCATGTGGACATGTCATAGTTACAAAAGTATGCAATAAGCATGTGACATACATACATGAGCTGTGACTGAAGGCATTTGGAGGTTTGAATGTGCATGTATGTGCACGCACGTGTGTGAATGTAGGGGAACAGATAGATGGAGTGAGTGCCTTTTTTTCTTCTGTTGTGTCCATGTGTGGGGAGAATACCTTGAGGATGCCATTAGGGCAGTTGTTATGGACCTGGGTCTGCCCTCAGTTTAGATGTAGGTGTGGTGTCAAAGTGGTTTTCTCTCCTTGCCTCACATCCGTTTTGCTCCCATGGTGCAATCGGTTAACATGTGACACTTGTATGAAAAGTAGAACTTGGGTGGGGCGGAGTTGAGCTATGGAGTGGGGCTGGAGAAGGAAGGTGTTTTGGGGAGAGGGAACTCAGCTGTTGTTTTAAAAGTCAGATTCTGAGTTGATACAGCTTTTCTCGTGGAAACAGAAAGCATAGAAGAAAAGCTGGTCATGTGGGGCACAACTGTAATCCCAGATGGGGAGGTGGAAAGAGGGATCCTTAGGGCTTGTTGCCCAGCTAGCCTTGCGTACTTGGTGAGCTCCAGGTTATCGAGAGATGCTGCCTTAAACACAAGGTGCCATTGCTTGAGGGTCAAAAGCTGGGGTTGTCCTCCACCCCACCCCCATACACAAAAGTCAAGGAGATACAGTCAGGCCTATTCCATCTGTCTTCTGGGCGGTGGTGGCGCATGCCTTCAATCCCAGCACTCAGACAGAGGCAGGCGGATCTCTGTGAGTTCAAAACCAGCCTGGTCCACAAGAGCTAGTTCCAGGACAGATTCCAAAGTCACAGAGAAACCCTGTCTCGAAAAACCAAAAAACAAAACAAACAAACAAACAAACAAACAAAAAATCATGTGTGAGTCTTCCACCTAGACCCTCTGGCTTCCTCAAAATCTCTCTTCTGTCCTAACATCTAGGATCCCTTCTTGGCCATCCGTGAGACTTCTGTCACTCTAAAGGAGTCGTTTAGAGTGTTGTGGACACTGGAGATGCCTCTGAGCAGGAGATCTGGTGTGGATCCCTGAAAGGAGGAGATGAAGCTTTCTTCCCTCCCCTCCACCCTCAGATTTCCTCACCCATCTTGACACCTTCCGGTAGGTGAGGATATGTGGACATTTGGGAGGTCCAGAGCCCAAGGCTGTGGTAATCTCTTTCAATCAACCAAGCAGAATGCAGGCATCAGCCTCCCAGGATAAGAACCGGAGGAAGCCAGGCCATAATGAAGGTCAGGACACTTGGGATGGGAAGGGGCAATGAAGAAGCCTGAGGTAAGAGCGGTCAGGACAGAGGAGCGCCTTTCTTCGAGGGGCTCAAAACATCTGTACTGCTTAATCACAAAGCTGATTTTGGTCCTTCATGTCTGCTTTAGTATAATTCCCTAGATTGAGCTCCCCCAGCAACTCCCCAAATATCTGGATGAGTCTCAGCATCTTCTCTCATCAAACCATATACAGGTACTCATCATCCTGACTATGAGAATATAACCTTGGCCTTCAGAAACAAGGAAGAGTTCAAACTCAATCAACCAGCACCCAAGAAACAAGGTGAGCAGACACCTACTTGCCTATCCTCACCCTAACCTTAAGGAGTATGTGGAGGGGTGAGTGCTGGACAGTGCAGGGTTGGTGGCATTAAAGATGGCGATGCAGTTGTGGTTGGGACTCAGTTGGAGACAACTTGCCCAGCATGCACAATGCCCTGGGTTTAATTCCCAGTTCTGTATAAACTGGGTGTGGGTGCACACCTATTATTCTAACATTTGGGGGCTCAAAGCAGAAATTAAAGGTCATCATAGGCTACACAGAGAGCTGGAGGCTTGCCTGGGATACGGGAAACCTTAACTAACTAACTAACTAATTAGACTGTGGGACTGGGGAGGTGGATAACTCAGTGGTTAAAAGTGATGTTGCACAAGGATGAGGGCCAGAGTTCAGACTCCGGTACCCACAGAATAAACCAAGTGTCCTGTGCATGCCTGTAATCCCAGCGTCGAGGGGTGGAGACAAGAGGGTCGTGCTGATTCCCAGCTTTGCTGAATAAACAGGAGAGTCTCTACTTCAAAGAAATAGGCAGAGAGTGACAGAGGAGGATACCCAATGGTCCCTCACACACACACACACACACACACACACACACACACACACACACACACCACTACTGTTATGTACTCTGGCGAGGGTAGCTTTGTAGCTGAGACGATGGAAGTGGGGTTTCTAATGCTTCAGGCAGTGCTGTTGGCGGTGCTTTTAGTCTTTGGGTGACAGAATTTGTTGAGAGAAATGTGAGGGTCACAATGTAAGGAATACAAGGTACTAGTACTGCTGCTAACTGACTGGGGATGTCCTCAGTGGTCCTCGATGCTGATGATAGATGTTACAGACAGTATGATGGCCTAGCTGCTGGGGTTGGGCTCTGCAATTCACGTACCCTGTGTTTCTGCCCCAGCCCAGGTCAAGCCATCACCGGACACACCCCAGATCCCCCCCTGGTTGCACAGAACCATCATGATCTTATATGTCCTCCTCGCTCTCATCTTTTCATTTTGCATCATCCTGTCAACCTTGGTCCTGGTCAAAAGCAAGTGATCTTGGGAGCTGGAAGAGGGGTGGGATTGTGGAATTTCCTCTGGTTCCCCTCCCTTCCCCCAACTCCATTTCCAAAAGGGCTAAGAGGAGGATGGGGTCTTAAAAGCTTTTCTATCCTCTCCTAAACAGATTCTGAAATGTCCAGGGAGCTGTGGAGCTTGAAAACGGAGCTTCTGAATGGTGAGTGGGAGGTGCAGAGGAGACCCACAGGGGTGCTGGTGGGACAGGAGAGGGGCGGCCATCTGAACATCTCAAACTCTGTGCCCTTAGTTTCGAGCCTGGTGCTGAAGTGCCAGGATCAGCAAAACAATCATTGGAAAGCTGTCCAGACGGACATCCGGGAGGCCAAGAGTAACATCGCTACAGTCTCGAGCAAAGTGCAGAGTGGAAATGACAGGCTGAAGACGGTGCCAGCAGGTATTCCTTCACAGGCCTGCTCTCTTCGAGTGGATTTGTTTGGGCGCTTAGAACACTGGTGGGGCTGTGAAGGTGACACAGCTGGTAAGGTACAACATGAAGACCTGAGTTTAGATCCCCAGGACTCACGTAAGAACTGGGCATGGTGGGACAGCTATGTAACCCCAGCAGTTGAGCAAGGGTGGTGGTGGTAGAGATAGGCAGATATATGTGGCTTGCTGGTCAACCAGTCTAGCCAAATCCCCAGGTTCAATGAGAGACCATGTTTCAAAAAATAAGGTAGATAGTCGTAAAGGAAAACAGCTAGTTGGTGCCAGCTTCTGACTTCTTTACATATTTGCACACACAAGTGCAAATACTGTGAACATATACACATGCACAAATCACACGGACACACCAGTTCACTACTGCGAACCACCAATATCTGAATCTGCTTCACTCAAACTGAAAACTGCTAATGATATTAGGGCTTTATTTGCAACCCTGCCCCAGATTTGTCTGTCTCCTCTCCTCCCACCAGATATAACTGACATCAAGAAAACCCTTCAGGCGCTAGAGAAGAAAGCACTTGCTCGTAAGCCGGGGCTAGGGAGGTGCGTTGGGGTGGAGTTCCAGACCTAGTGCCAGTCTGCCTGACCTCTGCTTTCTCCTCTCTGATAGCGTCCACTTCTAAGTAAATAAGAGGACACCACAGCCATACCTGGAAGGACTTGGGATTGCACCTGCTAGTGAAGATGGCAAATGGGGGTACCCGGCTTGAGTGTGAGTCTGCCATTCATCCTCGTAGAGAAAATTAGCCATCTGGCAGGCTGACTGTTGAAGAGTGTGCACCTAAGGGGAAATTTTGTGGCATATGGAGTTTCCATGTATCCAAGCAGAAGGTGTTACGGTGGAAAGAGAACGTGGAAGTCACAGCATGTGTTACTCTTTATGGACCACATAAAGAGGCCATGTATGGCCTGACATATATGAGAATAGGCATGTCCTGATGGATAGCTGCTCCTGTGAAGCCCCCAAAGTGTGTCATTGTGAGTGTGGGTGTAGGTGATATGTGGGATGTGCCTCCCCATTAGCTTGATCATGTATGTGTGCATCTGGCTATTTTGTGTGTGTCATCGCAGTGGTGAGCAATGGACACTCTGGGGATGTACTACATTGTGTGCCATTCCTAGTGTGCTTGGCTGTGTCACCTTGTGGGTTAAGAGCGTGTACACAAATGCACCCATTAATTTCTGTGCTTGTATTTTATGACTCGTGAAGATAAATGCCAAGAGGAAGGATAGCAGCCCTTGAGCTGTTGTTGGGTTGTCTGTGGGACAGAAGTTTGGGACCTGGTGGGGAGACTAGATTTAGGGCTTGGATTTGGGGATGGGACAAAACACTCATCGCTGTAAGCCAGGCATGATGCAGCTGAACTGTAAGTCCTTCACTTGGGGGGCTGATGTGAGAGGATCATGAGTCCAAGGCCAGCTCTGGCTATAAAAGATGAGTTTGGGTGGGTAGTGAGCTGGATCACAATGTAAAAGGTACTTGGCACCATCTTACCCTAGTTCCATCCCTGGAATCCACACAGTGGGACAAGAGAGCCACTTCTGACCCACACAGGCATACCATAGCACATGAACACACAAATACTAAAATAAAAATAAAATTTAAAAATACCCAGAGGAATCTACATCCTACCACAGAGACACTTGCTCATCCATGCAATGGATGATATAATAGAGCTTATTACTGCTCTGTTCACAGTAGCCAGGAAATGGAAACAGCATAGATGTCCATCAACTGATGGTCATGAAGATGTGGTGCATATACACACGATGGGATTTATTCAGCACAAAAGAAAAATTAAATCTGCAGGAAGATGGATGGAACTGGAAATCATTGTATTAAGTGAAATCAGTCAGACTGAGAAAGACAAAGACTATATGTTGCCTCTTATATGTGGAGTCTAACTTCATACACACATATGCATATATATGTATATATATGTATATGAATAGACACAACATACACACACACACACAGACACATACACACATATATATGTTGAAAGAAAGTAGAAAAGATACTGGGGCGGCAGGGTCCTAGTGGAATTGGGAGCCAGGAAGATGGAAGAGCGGAGATTTGAGGGAAGAGTCAACCCAAACTAGATACGTATGAAAATGTCATTAAGTAGCTAATTCAAAATAGAAAAATGCTCAGGGTAGATTTCAGATAGGCTGCTGAGTCGGGTGGACATGCGCGCCCCCTTGCGGCTGCTCTCCCGCACAGCCTGGGTGTGCATTTGTCCGCCCCTCCCCGTTCTTGAGTCCGCAGGGTACCCTTTTAATGACTCAAAGCGCTTGCAAACAGTCCGGTGCAGTTTCAGTGAGACCCCAGCTCTTCCTGCATCGGTTTCGTCCTTTCTCTGTGGATCTCAGCTGCGTCTCCCACTCTATCTGCTTTGGATTGTTCTTGGGGCGGAGTGTAGTGGGGGAATTGACGGGAAGGTCTTGAGGCACCAGTCCTGGAGCAGCTCAGCTCAGCGTCTCAGAACATACAGGTAGAGGGGTCTCTCACGTATTCTGCACAATCCCCTTCCCGGCTGGAGTGCAGTAACGCCCAGCCCCATCCCTACAAACCCGGGTCCTGGTGCATGCATAGTGGGGTAGGACTCTTGACTTCTACCCCATTCCACAAGAGTGTCTGTCGTTACTTTATCGGGAGGAGTACCCGAGGCCCCACTTCGCCTCCGAGATCCTTTTCTGGAACCTCACGCTACCCAACGCCGGCTTCTTGATCTGCTGTGGCGCTAGTCTTCTCCAGGGCCCTTGTCTCCTCCCCAAAGGGTTAAAGCAATGGGGTGGGTCAGGGTCCTGATAAGGACCACCCGTTGGGAGGCGGCTTCAATTTCAGATGATGTAATTCTTCCTCTGTATAGATTGGACTAATTAGGTTTAGCTGAGTCTATAAGCACCGCCCTCGCCCCCCTCCCCTTTTTTTCTTTTAGGATGATGGCCCCTGTCTGAGTACGGTTTTAAGCTCCGTAACGATTTGGCTTGGGCTTCCTTAGTCTTTTTTTCTAAAGCTCCAGTCCCCATCACGTGTGGTTAACCTCCATGGCCGCTTATTGTCTTCGTTCTCCTCTGGGCACCTTACTTGCCTTGCCCTCACCTACAGTTTGCCCGCCCTGGGCTTTTCATTTTAAAGTCGAATAAATTGCCCTAACGATTCCATTTGAGTCAGCTCTTCCCGCCCGACTGTGTTGATTTCTTTTTGTTCTGGCGTAGAAAGACTTGGTGACATAAATCTGTGTTCCCTGGGCCACAGCCATTGATAATTTACCTCCAGAATAAACTATCTCCTATCACTATTGAAGTGAGAGTTGTGTGTTTGCATTGATAGGGCAGAGGCAGGAGGATTGCTGCAAGTTCAAAACCATGCTGGGATGGATATATATATATCTCCAGACTTAAAAAATGTAATTATGGTTATTTTGGGGGGTTATTAGATAGTGATGGTTAGATATGGTTATAGATAGTGGCGGATACAAAATACTTGTCAAATACAATGTCAGAAACATCAACTAGGCAGGCAACAAAGTGGAGAAATCTCTGCTACAGGTCTCAGATATTATCTCCTGGGTCCTAGTGTTCTGCTAGTAGATACATTCCAAAAGGTCAGACAATGAGAACAAAGCATACATTGTAATTAGGTTCTGGACCTGCAACATTCCAGCCTCTCCACCACCACAGAATCTCTAATCAGTGGTTCAGTCTTGCAGAAGGGTTTGTATAAGGTCCAATTCCTTCGTTCACAGCCTCCAGTGTGCGGTGGTTATAGGCACGCAGCACCTTGAAAAGAAGGTGAAACCCATCCCTTGCAATGCTGAAGCATGCATGGGCAGCCCGTTTATATTGGGCTTCATGGTCTGAGTTGATGAGGACGACTGACAAGGAACGAGTTCCACAAAGATATGAACTCAGATTGCTGGATACAGAGTCCGGAGTGTTAACCATTACACCTCAGGAGCTGGTGCATTCAGTACCAAACTCAGTTACAGTTACTGTTTTTGTTGCTTAGTTTTTTAGACCAGTAGAAATGTTCACTGATAGAAATTGGGCAAATGAAAAAAATCTTAATATTCATTTACTTCCAAGATTGACCTGTGAGGCCAAGGATGATCTTGAACACCTGATGCTCCTGCCTCTACCTCCCAGATGCTGGAGGCATTTTCTCAAATTGACGAAAGTCCACCAGGACAATATGGGAGGTATTATATTAATTAAAAGCAGTATTGGGCTGTCAGCCCGAAGGACTCCTCAAATGGTGGGAGAAGAGAAATGGCTCACAAAAGTTGTCCTCTGACCTCTACTCATGCTGTGGCACATACACATGCAAGCATATACACACACACACAAAATTAATAAAAATGTAATAAATTTATTAAAAATACTTAATTTATCCATTTTATGCTATGGGTGCTTTGACTGCATATATGACTGCATGTATATGTACCACATGCATGCCTCATGCTTGTAGAGGTCAGAAGAGATCACTGAATCCCTGGAATGGTTGCGAACCACTATGTGGGTGCTGGTGTTTTGAACCGTGGTCCTCTGCAAGAGCAACTAGTACTCTTTGAAGGGACACTAGCCCACTTGAGCATGTGGCTCTGGTGGGCTTGTCCTTCTCCCTGTCCCCTCTGCCTTGCTAAAAACCATGAGATTACATTCCTAGCCACCAAGGTCTATTCCCTTATTTGGCCACTTCCTCCTTCTGAGGCTGACTACTAAAGTCCATACATCAGAAGCCCCCTTTGGCTCACCAAATTAAAATTGAACACCTCATCCTAACAGGGAATTTCCCCCTTTACCTATCTAAACCATCTGCCTGTGTGCTGTGTCTGTCTCCCTTCTCTGCAGAGACAAACACCCTTCCCCCTTTCCCTTGTTCCCTTCTCCCTCCTCCTCTATCTCTTTTATCACGGCATCCTCGCCCATTCTAACACAGACCTCCCCTTTTTCTCTTCTTAAGAATGGCATCCACAAGGCCATTGGCTGCTGCTTTCCCGCCTGCCAGAAAGCAGCTACTTTAACTTTTCTTCCCCGCTTGAAGGATCTCTGTGTGAAAACAGGTATTTGGGTGTGGTTTGTGCCTAATTGGGGTCTGGAAAAGAGCCCCCTTCACTCGTAACAACTGAGCCATTTCTCTAGTTCTCAAAACGTAGCAAAACATTTAAAAAATAGTATTTTGGGTCAGGGGATTGTAGGGCTTTAGCAGGCCCGAGCACGGCAGACGCAGGCCCGGGCACGGCAGACGCAGGCCCGGGCACGGCAGACGCAGGTCCGAGCACAGGCCCGGGCACGGCAGACGCAGGCCCGGGCACGGCAGACACAGGCCCGAGCACGGCAGACATGGCACCTGCAGGTTTTCCCTCTCCCCTTCCCTCACCCTTGCTAAACCATTAGACTACACCCCTGAAGCCAGCCCTCAATGTCTATCCTCTTATTTGGCCACTGACTCATTCCTGAGGCTGATCACCAGGGTCCAGCTATCAAACCATCCAGGTCCAGCAATCGAAATTATTATTTTGACTATTATTGGGTATTATTAAGTACCCAATCGGAACTCACCAACACATCCTGCCTCATTCAAACACAAACCTCTCTTGAAACCAAGGCTTGCAAAGCCATTTGCTGCTGTTTCTGCTTGGTTAAGATTCAGTCACCTGGTCTTTTCGCTTTACTTAATAAAAGATCTCGTTGTGTTTGATTTGTGCTTGGAAATTGGTGTTTGGGTGTGGTTTGTGCCTAATCTGGGGTCCTAGTGGAGCACCCAGCAGTACAAGGGTCCCTCCAGGAATAATCCACTCTTCAGAGTGCTCACCGCATTGCCAGAACCCACGTGACAGATCACATATGTTGGTGCACAGCTGTAATCCCAGTGCTGAGGAGACAGAGCCAGGGCGCTCCATGGGGCTCAAGGTCAGCCACTCTGACTCAATTGGGGAACTCTAAGTCCCAGTCCGAGACCCTGTTTCAAAAAGGAAACCAAAGCCAGGTGTGGTGCTGCATGCCCTTAACCCCAGCAATCAGGAGGCAGAGGCAAACAGAGCTCTGTGTGTGATGCCAGCCTGGTCTAAACACCTCTGGCCTCCACAGTCACAGGGATTCCTCTTCCTCTTCCTACTCCTCCTCTTCCCTTTTGAGACAGGATCTCATTACATAGCTAGCCCTGACTGGTCTGGAACTCCCTAGGTAGATCAGGCTGCCCTCAACTTATAGAGATCTACCTGCCTCTGCCTATTGAATTCTGGTGTTTACTAAGAATGTGTGCTTCCCTATGCCTGGTTACATGCACATTTCTGCACTCGTGAACACACACACACACACACACACACACACACACAATATTAAAACGAGCTTAGAGCTGAGGATGCAGCTTATCAGTAGAACACTTGCTCAGCACATGTGTGGCTCTGAGTTCCACACGTAGCACAGAAAAACCAAACAATTTAGGTTACTGTTTTATACCATTTCAAATGTGGCTGCTAGGATGTTTTAATTAAAGATGTGGTGCCGGGGCATGGTTCAGCTGGAAAGCACTTGCTTAGCATGTGTGGGGCCCTAGGTTTCACTTCCAGCACTGGAAAATCAATCAATTCATCATGCAGCTGTCATATGCTCGTTGGAGATATGAATGGACTTCAGGAAAAAAGGACCTACGTTCTTTCTGCTTTTTGCATTTCCTCTTATCAAGGTCAGCCAAACACAGGAAGAGCTGGGCACATAAGTCATCCCAGTGTCCAGGAAGCCAAGACATCTTGATTTTGTGGCCAGCTTGGGCTACATAGCAAGGCTCTTTCAAACAACCAATAACCAACCAATGAACAGCACAGAAACGATTAAGGGGCTGGGGAGGAGTCTCCATGGGTAAAGTACACAAGCATGAAGACTTAAGTTTGATTCCCAGTTCCCTAAAAAGAAAGAAGGAAAGAAAGAAAGAAAGAGAGAGAGAGGAAGACGGGTGTGTTGGTGCACACCTATGACCCCAGAACAGATGCCAGCGAGGTGTTTGTGGGGCAGATAAAAGGATTTCCCGAGATGCTACCAGCTAGGAGAAATGGTTACCCCAGCTTCAGTAAGATAGACCCTGTCCTAAAAAAAAAAAAAAAAAAAAAAAGTCCCAGGGCAATAGCGACATCCACTCAGTGTCAGCCTCTGGTCTCTCCTCACAGAAATGTGGGCACACGGGACACAGACACACAGAGGAAATATAAAGGTGGTCAGATGGCTCCGCAGGTAAAATCACCTGCTGCTCAGGCTGATGGCTTGGGTTTGATCCTGATGGAAGGGGAGAGCCCATTTCTGCAAGTTGTCCTTTCACTTTCTCTCCTGACCCATAGAAATACACAACAAATAAATACATTTAATCCTACGGCTGTTACTAAAGCATTGGAGCCACACCTTTTGTGGAAGATGGAAAAACATCCCCGGATTAAATCCTTCATCCATAGTGTCCTTCATCACACGTCTGGGTAAACCGCGAGAAAATGCACCACACCTACACCTCACGGATATTCATAAGAAAACATGTGCCCCAGGGCATGCCTGTGCTCCTGCTCAAAGGCCAAACTGGCTCTTTTCGCCCAGAGCAGGCTGGAGTTCTACGCCGCTGGCCTGGGAAGGACGCGCGCGCCCCCTAGCGACCCTTCTTGGTCACCGCATCACCCCGCCCTCCGTGAGCTCAGTTTAGCCCACACGCGCCTGCGCACTCGGGGGCTTTTTACGACGCCGTCAAGAAGTTCCGCTGAACCTACGGCAGCCCAGTTCCGGTTCAGACCTTTCACGGCCAAAGACTCTACTCCTGCACGCAAGGGGCTCGTCTTTTCTCTGTGCGTCTCGAGCAGCGTTCCCGGGTCAGTGTGTTTTGGGTTTTGGGGTGTGTGATGCGAGTTTTGGGGTCCCGGCCCTTGAACAGCTCAGCCGAACAGCCTTGTGGCACGCTCTTCACGGTCTGCTCCCCAGCTGGGTGGCAGGATGGTCAGTCCTGATCTCCCAGGACCGGGTCCCTAGGATGTGCTTTGTAGGGGCGGGCCGTCGGCTCCGATCTATCCCCCAGAAATGACGAAGGTTTCACCTGGAGACGCGTCGGGGTCCAGCTCCTCGGGGGAGTCTCCATTCACTGCTGGGCCCCCCTGCTGAAGGCACGGGAGGCCCAGAGGCTCTCACCTCCCCCTCCAGGCTTTTTCACTAGTTTCCCCACCATCCGTTTGTGTGATGCGACCTCCCAATGGGAAATCTATAGTTAAGGGTCACCGTGGAGACACATAGACACCTTCGGCGCCCCCCCACCCCCTGGTTATGGGGTTGTGAATTTTCTACACACTCTCCTGGCTTGGCCTTGACTCACCCTCTTTCTGTCAGTCACTTGCTTTCCTGGAGTGGCTGAGCAGGAAGGTCTCCAGGGTAGTCTGGGCTGGAGCACACGCCAGCTAGGGAAAACATAATTGACCGTCCTCTGTCTCCTCACCGTTCCTCAACCGTCCGCTTTAAAGGCAGGGTGTATTAGAGCCTTTCTCGTTGTTGCTGTGGTCAGATCTCTGACAGAAGCGACTAAAAGAAGGACAGGTCTCTTTATGTGACCATCCACAAGACATGGCAGGGGCCTGGGGCCGCTGGTCGCCTTGCACCCACGGCAGAAAGCAGAGAGATGAGTGACGCGCTCAGGTGACTTCATCCTTTTTATTCGGCCCTAGGGGGCGATGTCCACATTCAGTGTGGATCTTCCCTGAGTTAAACTTACCTGGAAATCCAGAGGTGTGTTTTCATGGTGATTCTAAATCTAGGAAGTGAAGGTGAACCATCATGCAGGGTCTTACTGTGGCCTCGATAGCCCTGGAACTCACTTGGGCTGACTTCTTTCAGCCGTCATACTGCCTCAGCCCTGAGTGCTGGGGTTGCAGGTGTGTGCCTCCACACCCAGTGTCATGTTATCTCTATGTCACCTTCAGTTTCAACCGTTCTCCTGCGTGTGCTAACTTCTTGAAAGTTACGCTTTTATTCATTGCGTGTTTGTGTGTTTGTGAGCGTGCATGGGGGTAAGAGGACAACTTTTGAGAGTGAGTTCTCACCCACTGTGTGAGTTCTGGGGGCCAAACCTGGGTTATCAGGTAGGTGTCTTTACTCCTGAGCCATCTTGCCAGTCCCGGTGATAGCTCTTTAGGAAGACTATCTGTTTGAAGTCTGTTTTATGTATATGGGTGTTCTATCTGCACACACACACACACACACACACACACACACACACGCCTGGTGCCTTCAGCAGCACAAGAGCTCCTAGAACTAGTTACAGAAGGTCCACATGATTCATCATGTGGGTGCTGGAATTCAAATCCGGCCCTTCTACAAAGCAACAAATATTCTTAACTGTTGCTCCCCCCCCCCTTTGAGACAAGGTCTCATATAGCCCAGGTTGGTCTCAGATTCCATTTGTAGGAGAGGATGACCTCTGACCCTGATCCTCCTGCCTCTGCCTCCACCTCCACCTCCTGAGTCCTGGGTTTGCAGAAGTGTGTCACTGTACCTGGCTTTATACAGTGCTGGGTATTGGGCCTAGAATTTCACGCATACTAGGTGAGCTCTGGACCAGCTGAGTGTGTCCCCAGCTGCAAGTGCTTGTCATGAATCAAAAACCTCTTGGGTCTCCAGCTTTCGGGTCTTTTCCTTTGCTCTCCGTTAATCCCCTTTAAAGATCTTTTTTAATTTTTAATTATGTATATGCGTGTGTGTCTTAGTGTGGGTTTGTGCATGTGAGTGTAGTGCCAGCAGAGGCCAGAGGCACTGATTCTCCCTGGAGCTAGGGTTACAGGTGGTTGTGAACCACCTGAAGTGGGCGCTGGGAACTGAACTCAAGTGCTTACCAGGGCATGCTCGAAAGTGCTGAGTCATCTCTGCATCTTCTCTGGTTCTCATCTGTCTTCTCTTCCCCACTGACTGGCAAGATTATAGAGCTCTCCTCTACTGTTTATACTTTGCTTGCTAAAGCTTATGGGGTGCAGTTTACCAGGAGTTTGAATGTCGGGTTTCCTTCTTATCTGTTTGGCACTGTAGTGCCCAACGCTGGTGCAGCTGGGTTGTGTGGGTATCCTAGAGCTTCTCCAGGTTCTCCCTCTGGTGCTTGGTGCCAGGCCTCATCCATCCATCACCCTGACTTTTGGTCTCCCTGCAGGGCGGCGGTATGGAAGCGCGTTTTACGCGCGGGAAATCTGCGCTGCTGGAGCGCGCACTGGTGCGGCCACGCACCGAGGTGAGCCTGAGCGCTTTTGCCCTTCTCTTCTCCGAGCTGGTGCAACACTGTCAGAGCCGCGTCTTCTCTGTGGCCGAGCTTCAGGCACGCCTGGCTGCCCTAGGCCGCCAGGTGGGCGCCCGAGTCCTGGATGCCCTGGTGGCCCGGGAAAAGGGTGCCCGGCGTGAGACCAAAGTGCTGGGTGCGCTGTTGTTCGTCAAGGGCGCAGTGTGGAAGGCACTCTTCGGCAAAGAGGCAGACAAGCTGGAGCAGGCCAATGACGACGCCCGCACTTTCTACATCATTGAAAGGGAGCCGCTCATTAACACCTACATCTCGGTGCCGAAGGAGAACAGCACACTCAACTGTGCCAGCTTCACGGCGGGCATCGTGGAGGCTGTGCTCACTCACAGTGGCTTCCCTGCCAAGGTTACAGCGCACTGGCACAAGGGGACCACACTCATGATCAAGTTCGAAGAGGCCGTTATCGCCCGAGATCGGGCCCTGGAGGGACGCTGACCCCACAGGAGATAAAGGATGAGCAGATCCCGATCCTAAGCTTGTGTTGTGTCTTGTGTAGGGGCGCCAGATCTGCCCACACCCTGATCCGGGCCTTGAGTCCCAGGCTGAGGGAGTCCGGAGGCAAGTGTGTTAGGCATAGGTGGAGAATGAAGAAGTTGACAGTGGACTGACCTAGCTTCTGACTTTAAGATGAGGTTGGAGGGTTGGGTGTACTGGGGAGATGGGGCACCTATGGAATTATCTTTGGGGCCTGTAGGCTGGAGAGATGGGGGCAGGGATATGAGGTTAAGAGGGACCAGGGCCTGGCAAACTGCCAGTGCTATCACCCAGTTGGTCGAGCGTCTTGGGTTTGATTCCTTATGCCACATAAACTGGGCATAGTGGTGCAGATTGTCTCATCCCAGCACTAGGAAGGTAGAGGGAGAAGGATCAGAAGTTCAAGACCATCCTCCGCTACTTAGCAAGTTTGAGACCAGCTTTGGTAACACAGGACTCTTTCTTAAACACGGTTCAGGCAGGGGGACTTTCCCCTTGAAACTCACTTTTCCTTAATCTACATTTGCTCTTAAGAAAGAAGTAGATGATAAAGGAGAGAGCATGGCCGTATGACTAAAATATGTATGGGGAGTGCCTGTTCTCCCTTTAGACCTTTGCTCCCAAGGTGGCCTGTGGCCTGTCAGCATCAGCACCAGTATCAGCATTAGTATTACTGTCAGCATCAACACCAGTACCAATAGCGTCAGTATCTTTGTCCCACATGCAGAATCACTGGTCCATCCCAGACTTACTGGACCCAAATTTGTGTTCTAGCCCCATTGCCAGAGGTATCCCTGGGTCGCTTCTTTTGAGAAGCAGTGCTTCAGAGCATCAGAGTCATTTAGAGGAGTTTCTAAAACTCGGTGGTCGGACCCTGCCCTTTCAGTCAGATTCTGCAGTTTCGGGGTGTGCCTAAGAATTTTTTCAGGTACATTCTGGTACATTCTGGCGAGCTTCTGGGTGCCCCAGGGATCCCACTGAGAACAATGGCACACTAGCCTCTTGAAAGGGGAAGAGCCCAAAATCATCTGAGAATTTAAAGGCTTTAAAGGTAATATATATATAATTGGGTTTTTCGAGATAGGGTTTCTGTGTGTAATAGTCCTGACTGTCTTGGAACTCTCTGTAGCCCAGGCTGGCCTTGAACTCAGAGATCCACCTTCCTCTGCCTCCCAAGTACTGGGATTAAAGGCGTGCACTACCACCACCTGGTTTAAGGTTAAATATTTTAAAATTTTTTCCGAGACAGGTTGCTGTCAGCCTAAGCTGGCTTTGGGCTTGCTATGTGTTCCAGGATGACCATGAATTCACCCTTTTGACTCTCTGAGGTTGGGTGTTTATCGTAGTGCCTCATTACATTATTTCTATTTTAGGAAGTCTCAACTCTATTGTCCTGGCCCGCCTGGAACTCACTATGTAGACCAGGCTGGCCTCAAAGTCTGCCTACCTCCCTAGTGCTGAGATTAAAAGTTGTGCACCACCACCCCCGCCTATTTTTTTAAAAGACTTTTTATTTGTGTGTGTTTGTATGTAGGTTTGTGAGCATGAATGCAGGTGACTGGAGGCCAGAAGGGGGCGTTGGGTCCTCTAGAGCTGCTGCAGGTGGTTGTGAGTCACCTGACATGAGTGTCGCAGTCTGGACTCCTATACTTAGGAAGAACAGTGTGTCCGGAACTGCTGAGGCATGTCTCTAGCCCTCCACCTTGTTTTTAAAATTATATTTATTTTGTGTGTGTCTGTAGAGTCAGAGATGTGAGATGCCTTCTTCTGTTTCACTCCACCTTAAACATCTTAAAATATGTGTTTATGTATGTGTGTGGGGCTGCACATGCCACGGGGTACTGTGGAGGATGGCTTTCAGGACTTGTTTCTTTCCTTTCACTACACAAGACCCAGGAGACTCAGGAATTGAACTCAGGTTATTTCTGGCCCTCCTCTCAGCTTTATTTGGGTCTCACTGATTCGGCCAGGCTGTCCCAAAGCCACAGTTCGAAGCTTACTTGGATTATAAGCAAGTAACCAGCGTACCTGGCTAAGGATGGTGTGCTTCTGAACCATGCTCCCGCCCATCCCTAGCCTGTCACTTTAGTAATGTAAGAAAAGAAATAACCAAGATCCACAAGGCGTAAATTCCATGTCCATTTCACTGCGTTCTCAAAGAGGCTTGTGGGCACCAAGTCTCTGAAACTGCCAGCTTCTACCTGCCACACCTGGACACACCGGACACAGCCTCCAGGGTGGGGAGCAATGCTGGGGACCAGCCATGATCTTTTTCACTGATGATTCAAGCTTGGTGGGAGCGTTCACTCCCAGACCCTGGGGAGAGGGACCTCCGTTCTGTGTTGCAGAGAGTGGGAAGAAGGGGAAAACTTGATAGGAGGAGTAGGAAGCCTGAGAAATCTGTTCTCAGCTCCCTGGATGGTTCAGCCGCCCGCATACATGCTGCATGGCTGGGGCTCTGATTGAGGAAGGCAGAGGGAGTGGGTTGGTCAGCTTAGGTCAGCAGTAGAAGCTTTTTGGGGAGCTGGCATCTACCAGCTGCTTCAGTATGGATGGGGGCATAATCATGGAGGCCTTCAGTCACATAGAGGGGTCCAGGCCTTGATAGGGGGTCCTCAGGGCCTGGCGCTTTTCATGATGGGAGAGAAATCTGGAAGAGTAGGCAGAGGTTTGTCAGGGTTCTGTTCTTGGAGTAGTGGGCCCTGTTGGACTCTCAGAGGCCAAAGGTGCAGAATCCTCGCATGTGGCCAACCGCTCACACACCCAGACTTCCAGGAAGCTGTGACAGAAGGCGTCGTTCCACTGGCCGGATCCCCGCATCATTACGCAGTCCTCGCCCTGCCCTGCGTTGTTGGGCTCCCCGGGACCCCAGTTGCTGGAACAAGAGACACCTCCAGTCACAGGATGTGATGAGGGAGGCATCCCTTCTCTGTAGGCCCTCTGAGGTTGAGTCCTCTCCCATTACACTCCCTTCATAGGAAAGGTTCCCCCGTTTGGGGCACCTGTACCTGGGCCTCCCCCATTTCTGTATTCCCTCTTTGCATGCAGCCCAAGGCCCACCTTTCCAATTTGTGCCTGCTCCTCACTTCCTCGGGCCCTTCATCCTTTCCCTATGGCTAAGAAAGCTAAGAAGTCCAGACCCCAGGGCTCTCTCTCCTTCACCTGTAGCCTGTGGGGCCCTGAGCCCTGAACTCCTGCGTGAGGTTCCCATCCCACTTACTTCCCACAGGCCCCCTTACCTGTAACCTACAGGGCTTCCATCCATCCATATGAACTCTCCCTCCACATTGAGATCCCGGAGGCCAATCCAGGAATCCTTCTTGTTGGTGTGTTTCATCAGGAAGTCCTAGGGGGAGATGTATATGGTCCTTCTCATCTGTTCCAGAGGGCCATGGTAGGATCCTACCCCGACCCCTGCTGCTATCCAGCTGCCCATAGTCTCCAAGCCACCTGCTCCTCTTGGCTGTGAATGCTGACTAGCCGTCCTTCGAGGTCACTGCAGGTGAATCGGGCCTGGATCCATCGCTTGGAGTCATTGCCAAAATAGTAGCACTTCTGTTGGAAATGGAGCCAGTTTTTGGGACACGTGCTGCATGCAGCTCCTGGGGTCACACAGAAGAGAAGAGGCTCAGGAGCATTGTGGTGGGCTGCCCCACCCCCATGGGCAGAGTGTGCATGTGCATGGTAGTTTCTCTTCTGCAGTCACCCAGGGGTCTTGACTGGAAGAACTGTCCTGTCCCTCCAAGCTTAGGGCCTAACAGCCTGTCTACAGATAGCTTTCTTCATGGGATCTCTGAAACTGGTTAGTTCTTTGATGAGGCAATCTCAGCCACCAACACTACTACTAAAGACACCTCAGTGGTTAGCAGAACGGCAATTGTCACTAACCTCATAAATACCTCAACCGTTGGGACCAGCAACAACCAGCCAAAGCTAACCACAACTCAGCTACCAGCATTATGAAATGTTTCCAATTCCAAAGTTATTAATGCCTCTGTGGTTAGTAATACTTTAATTATCAGAACCATAACCACAGACACCTCAGTCACCCACACGTCAGCCACAGCATCACTCCTGTAGACACCTCAGTCAAAGCAAAGACGGCTGAGAGATTAAGAACGTGTATAGCTCTTGTAGAGGACCTAAGTTCTGTTCCTAGCACCCATGTTAGATAACTCACAACTGCCTGTAACTCCAGCTCTCTGGGTCTGGCCTCTGCGGGCACCTTAAACTTATGTGCATGTTACCTCTCCTGTAACTAAGAATAAAATATTAAAAGACTATTTCTTTAAAAGGAAATAAAAAGTAAGGGAAGTAGAGATTGAGAGAGAGATTGAAACTGGAAAAAGTTTCGTGACTGTCACACCTAGGGACAGACGGTACCAGAGCTGAGCTCAGGCCCCAGGAAGTAGAACCATTTGCACGTGGGAGATCTCAGTGGGCAAAGCACTGAACAGATTTGAGGTCTGAGTGTGGGGCTTATGGATGAGTGCACCTGTAATTCTAGTGTTCCTGTGGTGAGGTGGGAAGCAGTGTGTGTGTGTGTGTGTGTGTGTGAGAGAGAGAGAGAGAGAGAGAGAGAGAGAGAGAGAGAGAGATTTGTGTATGTGGTTTGTGGTGGAATGTGTGTATGAGACCTATGTATGTTGTCAGTATTTGTGTGTGTGTGTGTATGGTTTGTGTGTGGTGTGTATAGGTGGTCTATGTGTACATAGTGTGTATGTGACCTGTGTATGTGATATGTATATGTGGTGTGTGTCTTTATAGGTGTGTGCATGTGGTGAGTATATATGGTATGTGTGTATGTGAGGTATGTGTGTATAGGTGAAGTGTGTGTTTTGTGTGTTGTGTGTATGTTTATGTGTGGTGTGCATGTGGTATATATGTGTGAAATGTGTGTGTGTATGTGTATGACTTGTGTACTAAGAGAAAGGGTAAGAGGTGAAAAATCTGTGAACAGTGAACATAACTTAGAGTCTCTTCATCTTCTGCCA